TCCCCCCCCCCCNCCCTGCAGGCTCTTTATCTCTGGCGGCACCATCCCTGGATACTCTCTCCCCGAGGTGCAGCCCGGTGTGCTGCCGCACCTAACGCAGCTCACTATTGCGTTGCCTGGTTTGTCGAGCCCCCTGCCGCCCAGCTGGGGCGTCAGCCCAGAAGTGTTGCCAGCCCTGAAGATCCTGCTCATGACTCTGGACGTGGAGGGCCAACTGCCGCCAGAGTGGGCCCGTGGCTTCAAGCAGCTGGAGCAGGTGGGTACTGTGCTGCCTTCTGGCACGAGTCTGTTGCATATCTCATTGAGGGCCCCTCAGTATGGATGTTGTGTCCTGCAACACCTGCTGCAGCTCGTGCTGGGGAGCCGGTGCTTGCCTGAGGAGGACGACAAACGACCAACCTGCCCAAGGGCAGGTAAATCGAGCCTGGAGAGTGCAGCGGGGCGCCTGATTGCGTCCGGAAATTTAGTCTCTGGCTCCAAGCTGCCCGAGCCACGCAAAGGCCCTCCTGGGCAGGTAGCGGCCGCACTATCGGCGCCTCGTCGGCGCCTGCCGCCGGAGTGGGCGGCTGGCTTCCCGAGGTTACGGCGTCTCTCTCTCCTCAATGTTGGGCTAACTGGAACCATCCCCGCCTCGTGGCAGAATAGCTCTGCCTTCCCGGAGCTGGACCTGCTGTAAGTGCTGCCCCCTGCGCCCGGCCATTCTCTTTTCTTGTGTCCGGTGTGACATGCAGGCTCTTCAGCTGGCCGCTCGTCACGTCTAGCCCGACCATGTCATGCATGCTCGCTGCAGTGAGCTGTCGTTCAACGAGTTGACGGGTCCCCTCCCAGCCAACATGTTCAAGGGACACCCTTCCCTCCATCACTTCGAGGTGCAATCTTGAGAAGGTGCAGCAAGGGACCAAGACCATGCAGCTCACCGGCACACTTAGCATCACTTCAGCCGAGCCTCCCTGTCTCTGCTGTTTGCAGGCAATAGGTAACCTGTTGACAGGAACATTGCCGGCCGAGTGGACATTGGGAAATGTGAGGCCGACTTGCACTGCCTTCTGTCTTCTCCCAGCAGTGCCGTGCGTAGTCACCTGTGCCCCCTTCTGTGTTGTCCCTGTAGGTTGAAGCGCTGGATGTGCAGTACAACAATCTGTCAGGGCCAGCTTTTCCACCAGCCTGGCTGCAACCCGGTGCCATGGCTTTTCTGCATATTTTCTCAGTCGGGGGCAACCCCGGTCTGACAGGCACCCTGCCCAGCCACCTGGCCTGGCCAAACCTGGGGACACTGTGAGGAAATCCCCCGTTTGCGCTTTGTGGTGCCCATGTGTTGCAGCGCTGCACTGCCCGTATGCTGCAGGGCTGCCGTTGCAACATGTTTTTTGCGGCGCTCATCTAGAGTGGATTCGTGCCGTGGCCATGCAGTGATCTGGTTGGCACAGCCGTGCACGGGAGCATCCCTGAAGCTTGGTGCAGCGCCGCATTTGCACCTGGGCTGCGAGTCATGTGAGTGCCGGCCGGCACCCAGCCAGGGACTGAGATCTGCACGCTTGCCTTCCTGGGGGCCAGACAGCACCTTTTGGAGCAGCAGCAGCTTGTGGTGGCGTGTCTCTCTGGCGTGCTTCTAATCATCATGCTGTGGGTTTCACTGATTCAGGTACATCAGCAAGGCAGTGAGCGGCATTCTCCCCAGCTGTGCTGCCGACAGCATGCCGTTGCTGCAGCTGAAAGTGCATACAACAAAGCCAGTTGGCCCGCTCGGTGGTGCAGCACCGCCAAAGCAGCCAATGTATGGGGTCGTCAGCGTGGCTACCGTGCTGGGCATTGCTGGAATTGGAGCGGCTGGCTGGGCCCTGCGACGCAGGCAGCGCACTAGCAAGCCGCTCCTTGAAGGACAGCCTCTGATGCCCATCAAGCGGCATGACAGCACTACGCCGCCATTCACCAGGCGGGCACGGCTTGCAGACATGTTGCAGCAGGAAACTGAGGGCAGCAGCCGAAGGTTCGGCATGGTGCCGTTGCAGGCGCTGCCAGCAGCGTTCACACACCAGCTGCGCGGCAGGCAGCGTGGAGCGGCCGCCGTCGCCGCCGGGCCGCACAACAACGGCGCAGGCAGCAGTGCGCTTGCCTCTGAGCTTGCACAGCCACTGCCCAGCGAAACCGCCGCTCTGAGTCTGCGGGCTTCGGCCTGCCCCGCTGCTGAAGTAGAGCTTGGGGAAGGCAGCCTGGAGCACCCCGCCACTAGCAGCAGCGATGGCGGCGATCTGATAAAGATGAGCAGGCAGTGGGGGCTGGACACCACATCGCTGCAGCTGGAGGCAAAGGAGCTGGAGGTGTGTGTCTGGATAGGTGGCTGGAGATGTTGTGGTGCAGCGGGGAAGCGCGCCTCACTCAACCATTTCAACTTGTGCTGCTTGTGGCCCTGCCACCTGCAGCTGGTCACTGGCCGTGACGGCCGGCTGGTGGAGCTGGGGGAGGGGGCCTATGCTGTGGTCTACCTGGGCAGCCTGTCGGGCGCCCAGGTGGCAGTCAAGGTGAGCACTGGGCGGAATAGCTGTTTCCACCAGCGTGCTGTTTGTGGTGCTTGCTGCCTCGGCTTTGCCACCCCACCTCGACGAGCGCAGCCTGCCCTTCTGCCTCGTCCCTTTCTGGTGCGGTGAGGGTGCAGGTGTATGAGCTGGATCATGGCATGGACGCCAGCGTGATGTGGCGAGAGGCGGCGATGCTACGGGATGCCGTGCACGACCACATCGTGCCGCTGTACGGAGTGGCGGTCAAGGTGGGCTGCTGCGGGTCTTGCAGCTGCCTCGCAGCATGCGGCCCTGGAAATCGCAAGCGCGTTAGGGTCTCCAGCGAAAGCCAAAGCTGCATCGGTGCGCCTGGTGCAGGGGAGGATGGTGATGCTGGCCATGAAGCTCATGCGGGGAGGCACGCTGCGGGCGGCGCTGCAGCAGGCCGACAAGCGAGAAGCACTGCGCTGGCGGGCCGGGTGCGCTGCTGCCAAAGGCTTTGGTTGCCTGCCTGCCTGTCCTGGGTGCCTGGCCTTCCCCTGCTAAGCTCTGCGTGTGGGCAAGGCTGCAGAGGGCGGCAGGCTGCGCTGGAAGTGGCCTCCGCACTGGTGTTCCTTCACACCGAGCTCAACGTCCTCCACAGCGACCTGAGCAGCAGGTGGGGTCAGGCTATACTGGCAGCGCTGCTGCTGATGCAGCAGGCTCCCACATTGCTACATGTCACTCTTCGCGAGTGCAACCATCTGTGGCTCCCCACTGCTGCCTGGCTGCCCTCCCTGCTGCAGCAATGTGCTGCTGGATGCTGGCTTGACTGCTTCTATCAGCGATCTGGGTGTTGCCCGCTTTGTGGGCAGCAGCGCGCTCAGTGCCGGCGCCTTCTGCCTCACGCACGCAGGTGTGGTGCACTGTCGCTGGCAGCATTTGCAACCCTGCATGCCAGTATGCAGCTGGGCATCCGACATGGGTGTGCTGCCGCTGTGCCTGGTCCATTCTGAACAGGCACTCGTGCCGCTTTGCTGCTGTGCAGCCCCCGAGCAGGTTCTGGGGCAACGCTGCACGCTTACAGCCGACATCTACAGCCTCGGCATCCTGCTGGTCGAGCTGACCACGCAGCAGGCGGTGACAAGGCGCGGCGGCTGGCGCCTCCCACTGGCCCCTCAAGAGTGCTCCCCGGCGGTGCTTGCTCTCATCGAGCGCTGCACTGCGGCGGACCCGCTGCAGCGCCCCCCCGCCACCCAGGTGCTGCAGCAGCTGCAGGAAGACGTGGGCTGAGTCGGTGCCACCTGATTGTGTGCCGTCTAGGTGCCGCCAGC